GCAGGTATCTCCTGACCTGCCCGCTGCTCCCCTCAGCAGTGTACTTCCTCTGTAGGTCTGTTCTGCTCCCCACTCTATCTCTGGTGGATCCTGTCACAGCCCCTGCACCTCTTGACCTATGCCCCAGTTCTATATGCATAAATAAATAAATCTTTTTTAAAAAATTACCAATTAAATAAGTATAAGGAAATAAGATAACATGGCACAGATTTCGCACACATCGACTGCTTATCTCAGAGGCATTAAATATGGTAAACCAAATGTCCCATGACAGGAAAACAATGAAATTATTTATAATACATGAGTGTGATGTAAGGTACCATAATTGAGGATAATAGATCTACTGTTAGTGGGCCTGACTTTATAGTCTGAAAGACCTGAACTCCAATTGCTGCTTTGCTGTCTTAGCAAGCAAACTTGTTAAGTCACAGAAACCTCAAATTTTTTACATGCAAAATAAGGACAAAAAATAGGAGTAATGACCTAAGTCCCTAAAGATCTTAACTTATGGGCCTCCCTGGTCGTGCAAGGGATTAAATCTCAGCATATGAAGTTAATCAGTCACTGCGGCACAACTGTATCAGTCAACGGCAGCTACTGCTATTGTGATAATGATAATATTTTGATATAATTCAGTATTTTACTTTGAAGACTGTTTTATGAATTAGAATTAATGAAAAAGTGAAATAATTTTCCAGGTCAGCAGAACCACAATTTATCTAAGACTTATGAAATATTCTAAAAATTTCTCTGTGCCTCTCTCTTGGTTCTAGAAGTCTTTCTTCATTATTATGCTTCTATGCACTTTTATTGTTATAAAATCTCTTCACAAAGTGAAGTAAAGATAAAGAAAACATTGATAGTATGTTTGTCATAATTTGTCACCAATTTTTCTTGTGTCTATATGAAGAATAATCAATTTACTGAAAATACCAAAAGAAATGTTTCAAATAATATTTGCATGAGTACAGTGGTGAATCAACTAAATTATTCATTTTACTGAACTTTGTTTCTCATGTTATAAACACAACCAAAGTTAATTTTGCACTCTGGATGCCATGCTGAGAATCCATTATTTGCTACTTTA